CACAAAAAAATGAATAGAAGTTTGAGAAATAATCCCAACTAGGTTGCCATCTAATTATTTATAAAGATGCCAAAAACACACATAGGATAAAGCATAGCCTTTTTATGAAATGGTGGTAGTAAATTTAAAAGACTCATAATAGACCCCTATCACACCCTGTAAGATCAACTCAAATGGGTCAAAGACCTTTGAGTAAGATCTGAAATTCTGAAACTACTAGAAGAAAATTTAGGGGAAACACAGCAAGATAATAGGCATAGGTGAGGACTTTCTGAACAGGACTCTGATCCTTTGAGAAATACCTGCAGGAATTGACAAATGTGATTATATCAAATTTAAAAACTTCTCCACAACAAAAGAAATAGTCAACAGACTGAAAAGACAGTCTAAAGACTGGAAGAAAATCTCTTTCCAGATATTCTTCTGGTTGGTAATTATTTTCTAGAACATATAAATTGCTCAAAATATTAAACAAAGAAGCAAATAATCTAATCAATAAATGGGCAATGGAACTGAGCAAATATCTTTTATCTCAACAAGAACTAATGATGAATAAACACATGGAAAAATGTTCAGCATCTTTGGCCATCAAGGAAATTCAAATAAAAAATAAACAGATTCCCTGTCAGAATGGCTATCAGCAAGGAAACAAACGATAAGGGTTGGCAAGAGTTCGGGTGAAAAGGAACCTTATTCACTGCAGGTGGGAATGTAAGTTAATCTAGCCACTATGAAAGTCAGTATGGCTGTTCCACAAAATTTTTTTTAAGTAGACCTCCTATGTGATCCACTTATACCACTTCTAGGTATATAACAAAAGAATCAGTCAGATTGCTACAGAGATAGCCACTTCCCCATACTTATTGTAACATACTTCACAATAGCCAGAATATGAAATTAGCTTATTTTTCATCAATGGATGACTGTATTAAGAAAATGAGGTATACATACTCAGCCATTAAGAAGAATTAAATTATGTCATTTTCTAGAAAATAGTTAGAACTAGATATCACCATATAAAGTAAAACAAACCAGTCCCACGAAGACAAATATCACATGCTTTTCTCATTTGTGACAGAATGGCAATTCACAAGGAAGCATTCGGTATAATCTTGTACTTAAAGACATGTGAAAGCAAAACACAAAAGCCAATGTCTTGAAAGTACTGTAGTGGTAGAAGGGGAAGTGTGAAGGGAAGAGGAGTATAAGAAGAACAATGAAGACATTAATGAGATCAAAGTACCTTGCATGTATGAAAATGTCAAGATAAAGTCCTTTCCTTCATTCAATTTATGTTATGCTAATTAAAATATATTTAAAGGTATATGTCACAAAACAAAAATACAGTTTTTTAAGCCTTACATGTGACAGATGCTATACTTCTTTCAGAAATAATAATGATCAATATGATTAAATATTTTACCTCTATTTTAGGATTTCAATTCTGATGAAGGAGAGATTCACATGGATATTACTTTTATTGTAACATATTTGGAGTTAACCCAAAGGTTGTACCCATGAAAATGGGAACACAGAGAAGGAAATAAGTTTACAATCCATCCATGATATTTACAGATTTCCTATATTTTTATAACAGATTTTTCAGACTTCCAGAGAGTTCAAATGAACAATTTCACCATAGTATGCATGCCAGTCTCACCTCCCCATCTACCATACTCACTCCACAAAAGGGATGCTGTATGCCACCTGCCACTTTGATGCCCATGGGCCAATCCAACAACAAAAAGCCAGTGACACAGTCAGGGTCAATGCAGTTCTCTTTCTTGAGGATTTGGGAGACTTCTGAGGAAGGATGCAAGTGAACCTACAGGATGATGGTATTTACCCTGGAAAGGTCATAGAGAATTGGTCCTGAATTTGATTGCAGAGCAACCAAGACTACAGCATTTTCAGGCCACAAGTAAACAGAGAAGCATGGCCTCTGAAAGACACTGTAGCAGATTCACAGATCTGGGAGGCTGCAATCCTCGTGTCCATGGGGTGAATTAACTTTAGATCACTCTTTGAGAGTTACAGTCCCATGGAATCCAAGAAGAGTCTCTTCCTCTTTTTTCATACTATTGTTTGCTTGTTAATTAAATTTGGACAAAGATGCCAAGAATGCATAGTACAGAAGGAAAATTTTTTCAGAAAATGTTAATTATTTAAAATGAATATCCATATCAGAAGAATGAATTTAAGCCCTCATTTCACAACATAAAACAAAGTCAACTCAAAGTACATGAAGTGACTGTGTGAATGTTCTGGGAAGACTCTAAAGAAACACCTCCTCCCAGACTGACATGGTGCTGACAAAACAAAGAATGACTTGAACAAGTTTATGTTGATGAGTAAATGTGTTTATTAAGGGTTACAAACAGAGCAGTTGCACTCAGTAAAGTCACAGCACCCCAACTCCTACCCCACCCTGACTACCACAGTCTGATTGTACAGAGCTCTACATTCATGCACTCCCCAATAGAGGGTAGAAGCATGCCACACATAGAAAAGTAGAATTAGTGTGTGAGTACACAAGGTCCTGTCTTTATAAGAAACATTGAAGGTTTTAGTAAACACTGTCAGACCATGCGAAAGAGGGTCTGCTGCAAAATGACCTAATTTGGCTAGAATTTGGAGGACTATTTTCTCTGCAGACCTAAATAGATTTTTCTCTTCTTTTTTTGTTTTTTGTTGGTACTGGAGTTTGAACTCAGGGCTTTATGCATGCTAGGCAGGCACTTTACCACTTATGACACTCTTCAAACCCTAGGCTTTTCTCAAAAGGAGAAAAACACGGCTTATGAGTTATGAAAAAATGCTGATCATCCGTAATTATGAGAGTAATTGTTATTCTCATCACAATATGATGACACATCTATGTATATAGATATATAAATATATATACATACATCTATGTATATAGATGAATATATATACATAGATCTATATAAATAAATATAAATATATATATAAATATATATACATAGATCTATATAAATATTCATATATATTCGGACATTAGAAAAGGAATTCTGCCATTTCCAACTTCATGTGTGAACTTACACAAACTTATGTTAGGTAATATGAGCCAGGCATATATATACAAACAGTTCACAAAGTTACTTAAGTTGATTAACAAAAGTAGAACTCAAAGAGTCAGAGAATAAAATTGTGACTTTCAGAGGCTGTGGAGTGAGGATTAGGTACATATAGGTCAAAGGGCACACACTGAGGGAAGGAGGAATAACATCAAGAGATCTTGTGCATAGCCTGATGAGTGTACTTAACAATGGTAAATTATATATTTAAAAAAATGAAAGCCATCACAAAGAATATGAAAATATTAGCAAAATATTTATCTGGTAAAGGCCAACTATACAGAACATAACCAAAATTTTATAGATCAGGAATAGAAGTATAAGCTGCATAATTACAAAATGAAAAAAAAAGAAATAACTTATCTCTACAAGATATGTTAAATGCCCACAAGGACCTAAAAAGATGACCAATTAGCCATAGAGAAACCAAGTCAAAGCACAATGAGATACTACATATTTTATAAAATTGAACATGAGAAGCGTTGGTAAGATTGTGAAGTTATCAAAACCTCATACATTAGAAATTAAAGTGGGTTATATATTATTAAAATCATTTGACAATTCATCAAAACATTAAATATACAATAAATACACAATTCATTTTTCTACTGTTAGCTTTTTTTAGCCAAATAAATAAAGCAATATAGTTATGTGCTGCTTAATGATGAGGAAATGGACTTGAGAAATGCATCGCTAAACAATTTCATCATTGTGCAATCCTCAGAGTTTGGGCTTTGAAAACTAAACTGGCTTCATTGCTAGGCAGTGTAATGTTAAGGGGATAGGATCACCATTATATATTTCATCTGTCACATTTGAAACATCAAATAGTACCATGAACATATATTCGAATAAATATAGCTGCATATCCATAGCATCCCTATGAAGGACGGCCAAAATATGGAAATTACCCAAACATCAATCTAGTTGTTAACCAGATAAACAATTTGTGGTGCCTACATATCATAAAATATTCCTGAGTCATAGAAAAGAACAGACATAATTGATGTTAACCCATAAAATAGCTGAAAAGAAAGAATAAGTGAAGGAGGGAAGTAAGGAGTGAGAGAAAACAGAAAATATTGAAGGAAAGTAGGAAAGGGGGAGAAGTAATGGTCAGAATGAAGCAATGATTTGGAATCTTCCTCCATATTATATCACTATGATTCATGAACAAATCAACATTCAATTACAAGTTCTGGATTTCTTGTTGATGATCCAACCATTGTTCTTACAAAAGCAGGATTTTGCAATGACATGTTCCATGCTATTGGGAATCTCATTCTCACTCTCTTCCTTTCAGAAATGGGGTAAGATGAAACACCTCAAAATATTTTCAATATTAAATAAAATCAAACAGCTTTGATGTAATAAGCATTTTCCTTTGCCTTGAAAAATTTCATTCTGCTATTCCAGGGAAAACAAGAGGTTATCCACATTAAAGTGAAAAGCTAATATTCAAGAGGATAATATTTGAGGCAATTATATGAAATTTTCTTAAATAAATGCTTCAAATGTCATAAAATAAAATCAGGAAATCCTACAAAATTGATCCAAATTGAATCATTAAGGGCCAGCTACTGAAAACAAAAAATTAAAAGGAATAATGGGAGAAGTTTTTGAGGAGAGAAATACAAATATACAAGCAAAGCCATTTGAGCTTTGGGAATAGAATATGAGATAGCTGTTCAAAGTACACCATACACACATAAGGAATCACCACAACAAAACATTACATACTATTAATATGTGTCAACTCAAAATGTCATAAAATAATAAATAGCATGAAAAGAATATGAAGTACTGTTGTCTTTTGAAGGCAATAAAGAACCAAGATATTGAAATTCACAGAATTTGTCTTAGTGGCCATAATATGAGTTTAGTTCTGAGGTCAGTGGTCCATCAAATCCAAGAGACTGCTCTTCTGAGGAGTCTTCCCAGGGCCCCCTTCACGTCCTTGTTCCTCAGGCTGTAGATGAAGGGGTTCAGCATGGGGGTGACCACAGTGTACATCAGTGAAGCTATCATGTTTCCCTGGGAAGACCCGGTGACAGCAGAACTAAGGTAAACCCCAAGTGCTGTTCCATAGAACAAGCAGACCACGCAGAGGTGAGACCCACAGGTGGAAAATGCCTTGCACTTTCTCACCGTGGAGGACATCCTCAATAAGGATGAGACAATATAAGAGTAGGAGTAGAGAATCCCAGCCACTGGAAACACACCTATCAGGACAACTGACACATAGAGGCAGATGATACTGATGAAGGTATCAGAACTGGCTGCTTTGATAACCTGAGCAAGTTCACAAAAGAAATGTGGGATTTCAGTGTGTACCATGAATGTCAGTCGTTTCATTAGTAAAATATGAAGCAGAGCGACCCAAGAAATAATAAGCCAAGATAGAAGGACCAGGAGGCCACAGAAGAGTGGGTTCATTATGACCATGTAGTTTAGGGGGTGACATATGGCCACAAAGCGGTCAAAGGCCATCACAGATAGTAGGAAATTATCCATTCCAGAAAAAATGATTAAGAAATACACCTGTATGAGGCACCCACAATAGGAGATGTCTTTATTCTGTTCCTGAATGTTCACCAGCATCTTTGGAACTGTGGTGGAGGTGAAGCAGATGTCAACAAAAGACAAGTTAGAGAGGAAGAAGTACATGGGGTTGTGCAGGTGGGAATTAGAACTGATGGCCAGGATAATGAGCAGGTTCCCAAGCACTGTTACCAGGTACATGGACAGGAACAGCCCAAAGAGAAGGGGCTGTAGCTCAGGATCATCTGAGAGCCCCAGGAGGAGGAATTGTGACACTGATGTGTGATTTTCCATTTTCATGTCACTGGCTTTTCTCCTTAAGAAACAAGCAAAAGTTTAGAAACATTCAACTGATGCTCAGGTAGTTATCACCTCACACTGTCACTGTGGGATGGATTTCCTTCATGCTCCAAGATTATTTCCCTTGACAATGATTCATGTAGCCAGAGATAGTTCCTTTCAATTTGAAATTAATTTTCAAACTTCCTTTAATTTAGCATAAATCTCTCTTGCTTCACATCCACTTACATTTTTGAGTCACCTTTTTTAATTCACGGGCATAAATTTATTCTTTTCTATGAGCCTTGCAGAATATTAGCAGACATTTCATGAGTTATCCTTGATAATTCCCAATTTCCTTATAATAGCTCCACAATATTGATAAAATATGAGTTTATGACTCAGTCTTTATTCCCTGACTTAACACTTGCTAGCAATGTAACAGTTAATTCACAGTATCTCATTCTTTTCTGGTAAATTTTATTATTAATGCTATCCTGATTTGAGGTGTAAAGTAGCTTTCAGTAGGAGCCTCAATAACTGGTATCTATTATTATTATTATCATCCTTTTTGATAAATATATTTGGTATATAAATTTCCCAAATCACAGAATGGAGCTTGATTTTTGTAATTGGGTTCTTGGGCCAAACATCACCAGCTCATAATTTTTGTGACCCCAAAAATGTTAATTAAATTATCTTAGCGATAAATATTTATCCTCTTGAGTAGAAATAGATATTTGATACATGATTGAATAGAAAATTAAATAACATGATGATGTATTTACTATAATGGAGATCCTGACACATACAATGGGCATTTCATAAGTGTTAACTTCTTATCACTACAAAAAATCTGTCTCACATGGCTACCATTTAGCAATATCCCCTTAAACTATAGCAGCCATCAAGGATGGAACCCTGATTACTCTAAATAGAATGGATATATAAACCATTTTTGAGTGATGGAAATTATTTGGGGCCACTTATGGGTTTTTCCTTCAGAGAATTCCTTCCAGTGAATTCTTCAAAGATGAGAAAAAAGAATTTGGGTGACATAGATAAGAGGAGAAGCAGTATCACACTACCACTAAGAGCAATGCATGTGTGAGAGCACCTGCTCTAATGTCCATGCTTTTGAATGGATATGCATTATATTAAAATCAGAAGTGTTAACGAAAAAATGTATTTGCTAGATCTGATTAAAATATTCAAGATTTCTATACGCAAATCACTTAAAATTTTGTAAAGACAAATGTAAAATTTAAAAAATATTTAGAGTCTCCATGACAAAAGTGTCAGTGTTATTAATGTCTATTGAATGGAAACTGATAAAAATCAGAAAAGTTTCATTGAGTGTCATTTCATCATGGGGAATTGGGTGGGAGAGGCTTCTTTAGAATAGAAATGTTTATCCAAGAGAGGAGGAATTTGTCATTGGCAATCAGAGGAGGGAAGGAAGGAAAACATTCTAGACTGAGTGAACGTAATGTGCATTTGTTCTGTCAGAAGGAGACCTAGTTTAGAAGGGAATCAGAGAGGCCACTGTAATAAAGATCTGAAAATGAGGGCCAGGAAGGACACAATATGTGAAGCCCAAAGTACAAGCTTCCTTACTCTCCTTAATGTCCCTTTAACACTGTTAAACCGATGTTCATTTGTGCCTCTGTGCTTCTAATAGTTACATCTCATCCTTTGCCTTGTCAGAGGCTTACATGCATCCTATGACAGTGCAAGTGTTCAAAAAATACAAATGATGTATAAAAATCAAGACTAACATACCAACACTATAACAAAAGTAATCATCCATCATAGCATATCCCTAAACATTGACATAAAACTGAATAATAAAGTTTAAAAAAAACACATCATATCTATTTTGAAACTATAACCCACGAAGAGCTATTAATGTCAAATCTAGGAATGGAAGCCTGCTTCACATAAGATAGTGACTAACATAACTCAACACAAAAATAGGTCATTGAATCTAACACATAATGATGATCACAATAGAAAAATGCATTTGAGAGAACGTTACTGACATTTCTGTGGTTAGACCTGCCATAAGTGACCTATTAGTAAGAAAAGAAACCAATGACAATTTCCAAACACCAAAAAAAATGATTGTTTCCAAGCACTGCCAATAGGAGATTAAAAGAACAGGGTATTTTTGTTAAACCCATAACACACCAATGCAATGTTTCTCAACTTCAATCAAATGGTATTTTTTCTGAACATCTACAGGGGTTGTTAATATGAAAAAAGAAAATCGGTTTGAGTGTTGAACTTCATAAGTATTTCTTTGGCACATGGTATTTATGTGCACTAAAGTGAAATGGTAATTAAAACAATATAGAAGTAATAAGGGTTATCTGTAAATCAAATAATCCAGTAAAATACTTAGGGATTAGAACAGAAAATGCAAGCAAGTAGAGTAAAATTGTCAATTTCTGCTGCATAATGGATTTTTGTTAAGTAATTGCTGAATAAATATTTGAATACAAAGAAATTATAATTCTTAGGTAAGAGTGAGTATGAGGTGGATACTCACTAATAAACAGTTCTTACTGGAAAGATGTTCTAGGTTCCAAAGTGTGAGAGAAGAAAACAGAATAACGTGTGAGAAAGAATAGACTCAGTATAAAGTAGAGTTCCCCCAAAGTATAGAGACTTCACTTCCAAAGAGTTAGAAACCTTAGAACATTATCATTCTCATTATTTTAGCGATAAAGCCTGCACGTGCTTTTTCTCTCTTTTTATCTTACCCAACCTACCTTCACCCAGACCACCAATTCTCTCTAATGGTTGTAAGCAAGGCTTCTTCTTCTCCACAGTCTTTCCTCAGGAAGCCCACTTAAGTTTTTTCACCAAAGCTGAAATCAGAGAATGACAGGTGAGGGGCAATAGAGACAGGTTTAAAGTTTCAACAGTTGAATTAGCAGAGCTCCTAATTAAAGAAATTATTCTATTGTCTTTCTAGTCCCCAAATATATTTGCTCCCTTGAGGCACAAAGATATTGCATAATGGACAGTTTTCTTGTGTTGAGGACCTAAACTAATATTTATTCAGAATCAAATATACATTATTTCACTTGATCATTCTTTTAACAAATGGACTTGGCTACCGAGTAGGAAACATAGAGTTCTATGACGATAATAGTCAGGACATTCTCTGTTTCAGACCTTCCTCCTCAAAATATTCACTCTCTTCAACTTCTCAGTTTATGAATATAACCAACCATATTTATACCTTGACTTTAAGTTTCCAACACCAGCTTCATATCAGAATTTTTGGTGGGATTAGTGAAAGCTACTCAGACCCTTCTTGAAAGTTCATATATTAGACACTTACAGAGCACCGCAAGTGATTATGGTGCTTAGTACTATTGGAAATAACTGAACAGTATTTATCTGTGTGGCTTGGAGAGCTATTAAAAATATAGAAGCTTAAAGTCTCCTGCTTTACCCACAAAAAAGAAAACAATATAGGAGCCAAAAGTCCCTTGCCCCTGTTACTCACATTCTGCAGGAGTACTCTGTAACACGGGCTTCCTTCTGCACATGTGTATGTGATCAATCCTGTAGAAAGTTATATGAAAGCTCAAGGAAACCATAAGAGGGAAGTTAAATAACCAAAAAGGTGAAGGCAACTATTAAGTAGAAATCAACAGCATGAATTTAAAAAATCTCCTGAAAAGGTGAGCTGAAATGTTATATGATTGAATATATTACAAAAGTCCTTACAATGTATCATAGCTTAATTCAGCCCCCAGAATGAAGAGTTTTCAATCAATTTTTGCTATGGTTGAATCCACAGGAAAAGAGAGATTTATTTTTTCCAAGGGAAACTTATTTCAAATGTCATAGGCTAGGAGTTGCCTAAGTAAGTAAATTTCTATAAGGATCATGATGTGTTTTGAAGAATCTGAGGAGATTTAATGGCTTATGTGGTGTTCACCATGTTATGGAAGGGCACAAGTTCTTTATTTTTTTGGTTTTCATTTTTTACATTTTTAATTAATATAATACTGTACATAAATGTGTCCATTTTGTTTATAAGCATCACCTTGTGAAATGGTTAAATCTAGAATATGAGCATGTACACTACTTTATATAGTCATCATTTTTGTGGGAGATCTGTAATGTCCACTTAGAATTTTTCAAGAATGTAAAACCTTTTAACTCTAATCACTACACTGTACAATAGTTCTCTTAATTTATTTTTCCTGTCTAACTGGAATGTTGTAATCTGTGAACACAATTTCTCCAAAACCACCCAGATGCTCTAGGCTCTGGTAACGATCATTCTTCTGCATCCATGATGTCATTTTTTAATTCCAATATCACTGGCTTCATGTGGTAGTTATCTTTTGGTACCTGGTATATTTCACTTAATATAATGTTGTCTTGGTTCATGTTGGTGTGAATTTACAGGGTTTCTTTTTCGCTTGTGCTTTAATACTGTTCCATTGTGTGTATTGATCATGCTTTCTTTCTTTATTTGTTTATTCATTTATGTCAATGGGTGAACTGTTTGGATGGTATACAATTTCCACTACTGTGAGTTCCACTACAGTGAGCATGGGAGAACAGATGTTTTGACATGCTGATTTTGTACCCTTTGGGCATATATCTAGGATTGAGGTCACTGAATCATATAATAATATGATAGCTCTTTTTTAACATTTTGAGAAACTTTTATATCCTAATCTATATTGTTTGAATTATATTAACACCAGTGGTATGTAAGAAACTCCTTTTTCCCCACATCCTCATCAATAATCATGTTTCTCTCAGGACAAAATCAATTCCAACAGGTGTGAGGTCCAATATCATATTGGTCTTGATTTGTGGTTCACTGAAAATTAGTGAAACTGGACATTTTCCTTTACCTGTTGGCATTTTTATTCTTCCTTTGAGCCATGTTTATTTTGGTCTTTTTTCCATTTTATAAATGGGGATACTTGTTTTCTAGTAATTATTTTTTTCTTTTCCTGATATATGTTGGATATTAACCTCAGATCTGTTTATAT